CCACTTGACTTCACTCTCCAGGATGTCTGGCTCAAGGTCAGCAGCCACACTATCTGGGTTGTCCGGGATATCCAAATCTTTCTGGTATAATTCCTCTGTGTATTCTTGCCACCGCTTCTTGATGTCGTCTGCTTCTGTGAGGTCTCTCCCATTTTTGTCCTTTATCATGTTCATCTTTGCACAAAATTTTCCTTTAATATCTCCAATTTAATATCTCCAAATACATTAAAAACCACTAAAATCAACAAAGGATACATATTAAAAATAACATAGCAGACAATGGGTTGTCTTCTCCTGATCCCCAATAACCTAAAATGAATTCAACTGGCTATACAACAGGAGAACACTCATTTCATGGGCTCCTACACACAGGTCTTAAAATGGGAGATGTTTCCTGTGCTGGAATCTGTTATGTTTGAGTATGTTGACTCTAAAGATAATGCTTTCTGGGTCAGATTAGAGCTGATGAGAACTTCCTACATTTCCCAATCATCTCTCTCACAATTTGCATGATGTAATCATATGGCCAGGTAGAGACACACACATTTGATCATTCAAACCCCACAGAGGCCTTTGTAACCAGAATGGATGTGAGGGGTGGAGGGAGTGTATGCTCTTGTTTTGACCTTCACCAGCAGCTAGGATGAAATAGTTTTGAGGCTTAAGTTGATCTATGGGGCCGTACAATTACAAATGTGAAATGTGCAGAATCATATTACAATGTCAATGTTGTGCCTTTCCCCAGCATCCTTGATTTCAGCTGCAGCTGATAGTATGTTCTTTTGACCACACCATTAAGGTGGAAGGATCTTAAAAAAGTCAATAAACCCACCACAAATCAATAGCATGCAGCGTCATCACTATGTCTGAAAGCATTTCTTTCTTTCTTTCTTTCTTTCTTTCTTTCTTTCTTTCTTTCTTTCTTTCTTTCTTTCTTTCTTTCTTTCTTTCTTTCTTTCTTTCTTTCTTTCTTTCTTTCTTTCAAAATGGAACCACAAAAAAGAGGCAAGGCTGGAAAGAAAAGAATCTGAACATCATTTGAAAAATGAATGTCCACATCCAGTTAAGGGCTGGCCGTTTAATAGAGGTGGACAGGTTTCTGTCTTTTTGGACTGCAGCTCCCGGCATGACCATGTTTCGTGGGGAATTCTGGGAACTGTTATCCCAAAATATAACATTGCTTACTTCTAGTTTTTAATGTATTTGCTGTATGCATATTCTACATTTCTGCCATAGTGCCTGAGGTGGTTTTATTGTGTTTAATTGGTCGTCTTATTCAAAGCTGGCCCTTGATTATTCGGGAACCTGGAGAACATCATACTCCCGCTTCTCCATTTGATGTCTTTGATTAATTCCTTTATCCCTTGGTTCCTCTTGCTGCTCTGTGATACTAGCACTATCAACTGCCATGGGCAATGCTAACAGCTATGTTGCTCATCCAGGGGAAGGGGTGGGAACAAGGTTTCATCTAATCAATGAGAATTGTCACACCATTTACTATGCCCCAGCTTTCCCCAAGCATTCAGATGAGGGGAAAGAGAAACTACATCGAGCAGACCATGTGGTGATGGTATTTCACAAGGTCTAGCTGGCATGTAGGAGCAATATGCCATTTGACATTTGGGAATCATTAATTCACAAGGTCACCATAAATCAGAAGCTACTTGATAGCATGTAGCAACAGCAAAGCAAGTGACTACCCCTTGATCTTATACATAAGCTTCATAGTTGAGGGGAATGAGTTGTGGTCAATTAACATTGCTTAAGTTAATGAAATGTATTGCTCCTGAGGTATATTACTGCAGCATACCTGTGCCCTTAAATAAAGTGCAGGATTTGGAATAAACGACTGTATCTTGTGGCAAGGTGCTTAGGCTGCTAGACCCGACAGCTTTGTAGAGTGGTTCCAGACAGGGCTTTCAGGACACCTTTACCTTGCCTCATTTGCTGCATCCCGTGGGGGGCTTCCAACAGTGATATCCTCCTCCTGAAGCCCAATCTTCTGCTGCTGCCGCCACCCTTTTTTCCTTATTGTAGAAAATCCATTAAGAAGAAATAGTTGGAGTAGCTGTGCAGTGCCCTCTAGTTGCTAGCAGGAGGAGCCCTCCACCCCAAGACATACTTGGTTACTTTCCACACTCCAATTCTAATTCTGTAAGGAGCCATCATTTTAAAAAGTGGCCACCAGGTTATTATTGCCCCCCCCTTTTTTTAGAAGCAGTGGTTTGGTGTCAAATTCCAGCTTACATTCTCAATGAAATGTAGATGCTACTATTAAGAATGCTAAAATGCAAGTGGCAATATACTTAGCTTGACTGATGGTACAAATGCAGAGCATCCTTTATTCTAACAAGTTTGCAATCCAAAATATGTTCACCCAAATGGAATGTTTGGTTCAAAGAGATCCAGGACCTTGGATGGGCAGAATGTCTGGGCCATGTTACAGACAGGAGCAATGCTGTGCTGGTAGCAAGGACCATGAATGGTGAGGCCAAGCTTTGGAGCTTTCTGTAATCTGGTTTTTATGAACCTTGGTAACGTAAATCACATTCTCAGTCAGGCAGCTTGTAGTTACAGTATATCCTCTTCTGTTTCAGGGTCTGAAGTATGGCATCCCATATGCAAACAAGCAGCAAGAGCAGAAAAGAAGTTAAAGGTAAACATGGATCTGTGAGGGGATGGGAAGCAGATCTTTAGTAATAGCTGGTTGTGGGGTCCCTAAGAGTAGGAATACAGTAAGGACTGGAAGACACCAGATATTTTGTTTACTTGCTGGTATTGTCATGGCCCCACTCCAGTGCAGCTGGGGGAGAGGAGGAAATTTGAAATTTAGCATCTGAAGACTTTGATCAGCAGCAATGTGTGTGCTTGGGTTAACATTACAGGCTCCAACAACGTTGAAGCTGTAACCAAGGAAGCCGAACCATAACCATGACCTTGATTCTTATTTCTCAAATGTTCATACTCTATGCAGCTGTTGTGTCTACAGCATTGCCACCAGCATTTGTTGTAAACATGCAAAATGAGAAAGTTCTGTGTATCTCCAGACAAGGATGCTAAATAGCCACCCATTAAGGAATCTGCCCATTCCCTGAAAAATGTCTGTTGCTTTTTCACAAATACACAGAAGTAAACAGTAGCACCAAGGTATCCACAACAAAACTCTTTGCAGCACACAATTACAGAAAAGTTCACAGCAGCAGCATGCTGCGTAGCCGTTTATCTTTTCAGACAGGACAATAATGCAAGTAGAACTGCTGGATGTGTATCCTTGATCAAACACCCCTCTGGGGAGCCATTTAAAACTGCTACATCTTACTCTTGCCCTAGATTCACATTCCTATGCATGAAACAATTATTTTTAAATCCTAAGCTCTCAAGAGCAAGCCCATTGTTTAGTGCAGGAACTGTATCACCACCTGTATGGTTTGGCTCCAGCGCTTTGCATTTCGCTGTGGAAAATGCATCTTGGGTATAATGGAGAAATGAGAGAGTAATAGGTTTATTAGACGGCAATAAAGATATTCTCAAATGTTTCAAAATATCTCAAAAACAGGTGGGTTTTTTAGTCCTTCAGAATTCTTCATTATGAAGAGGGTGCGGAGAAAAACAGAAAAGGCCAAGCATCCTGCTGGCTGCATATTGGGTTTCAAGGTCTGGGTTTAAAGTGCAGTTCCAAGAGAGAACTGTTTTTGTAAACTGCCCAGAATGGCCTTGGCAGTCAGGTGGGTGATATCAAAATCAATTAAATAAATAAATGGAAGCTGGAAACTTGTAGCACCAGTTTGAGATATTATCTTACTGTTTCTGTAAAGTATTGCCTGTCACTCAGTGTCTCCTCCTTTACTTTGTTTCAAAGCATGTGGTTCCTGTTTGGCTAGGAGACGAGGCACTAGAAACATGGCAACCCACATATCAGAAAAGCGGGAGGTCACATTAAGTTGGCACATTCAGCAAGGAAACAGTCAACTGAAGACAAAGGAAGTACATTATGATGAAAGAATCCTTAGTACAGCACAGGCTTTTTGAATGATAGTGGATGTCCCCACCCTGGTTATAGATAGTAACTTGAGCAGCTGTTCAGGATACGTCATAAAGACAAACAAAAAAGGGAAATAGGGTGTGTAGTGAGACCCTTAGATAGCTGGATCTGTCACCATATTAGCTAGACTTCTTATTGTATTCCTACTTCTGGAGCTGGTGGCCGCAAAAAGACTTGAATCCAGTTAGTACCTTCTGTATTCAAGGAAGACAGAATTCTGTTCCACATATATCACAAGAAAGCCTTGGACTCTTACTCTAGGATTCCACATTGTTCAACAGCACTCCTAAACTTTCGTTGCCCCAAGGAATTGAAGAGCTGGTTGTAAACTGTGCCATGTGGGCTATTAGCATAAACTGGCTGAGAGACTGACAGAATTACTATGTGATGAACAGAGAGATCATAGTTCATTGCATTAAACAACAGTAACAAATCCCTTTGGCAGCATACTTTTAGACCTGCCTTCCCCACCCTCGATCACTCAAGACGTTTTCGATTCTAACTCCCATCACCTCTGGACAATATGGCTAATTGCTTAGAGAAGATAGGGGTTGTAATCCAACAACATCTGGAGGGATCATGGATGGAGAAGGAGAAGGCTGTTTGTTTTTTTAAAAAAATAAGGTCTTCAGGTGAATCACATACATGGAATGAAACAATATGCAAGGTGTGGCCTTAGGTAGCAAAATGCAACAGCACAACCACCAATTCAGGCTTTTTAGGCAGGAGAAAGATAGGTAGGTAGGTGATGTTTTCAAAATCATTAAAAATGTGCTGTTAGCTTAGGTCAACGCTGAATATACTATTTCTTTCAGTGTTATGACTTAGGCGGAGACTAGCAAGGTTAACTGCTAACCCCTGTCCTTTTCTGTGTCCACACAGCATAGAAGAACTTCAGAAACATCCATCTCCCCACCTGGCTCCAGCATTGGGTCCCCCAACCGAGTCATTTGCGTAAGTACACTCTTACGACTGAATCAGGCCCATGTGCGTCAGGTAGCTGATTACACATGCAACTTGGGAAAGCGTCCTGTCTGGCTGCCAGCAAGGCTGAGAAAGACAACTTGTCCAACACACACAGGTTGCTGTTGAGAACTGGACTCTTATGGTATAGGAAGAGTCTTCCCAGATCCAGTCACCTGTACGAAGGCAGACATTTGACAATTGCAGGCTGAGATGCCTGTACTCATCTTTTGAATGCCTTGACTGCCAAAGAGCCTTGATGCCAACCTGGCTTCTTTGAGCATCATCTGACTAAATAATTCAGATGTAAACCATCAAGGCAATTCATGGCACTGATTTCAATCCTGACCCTCTTTCCCCCTTTCCACTGATGCCTTATTATTATTATTATTATTGGGAAAGCCTGTTGCCTTTTCCAAAGTGTTGTTATCTTCCCTTTTCTAACCTCTGTGGTAACAATCTGGTTCCGCTTGCTCTGATTATGCATTCAACCTGTATATTCCAACTTGCCCCTTCTCTCCCTGCATCCCAAGGTCCTATTTCTTTTCTTTCTGTGCTTGTCCATCTCTTGTCTTTACCTTTATTTAGGCTAAAGTGGATAATGAGATCCTTAATTACAAAGACCTGGCTGCTCTTCCCAAGATTAAGGCCATCTATGAGGTGCAACGCCCTGACCTCATCTCCTATGAGCCTTATCACAGATATACATCGGATGAGACGCTGGAGAGATATAGCTATGGGGAGGTACAACTTCTCTGCAATTTCTCCAAGGATGGAGAGGGCCTGTGAGCCTCATCTGTATTCATTTTAAGGAGTGACTTGACATCCACAATATATCCCACCCACTCAATAAAAATCCAAAGTAGTTACTGATGAGCAGTAATGCTTTGATAAATTGAAAAATCCCAGGTGTGGCCTGATCTGGAGGTAGTTGGGACACAGATGGAAAATGCTTTCCAGTTACAGGCCATATAGATTCTGCCCCAAAATGGGAGCTGAGAATCCAGATGTAATGAAAATGCAGTATAATTTGAACTAAGAAGGAGTAGTCCTTGACAGAAGGCTGGAAGATTTTCTCAGATATTAGGCCTCAATGTCTAGTATGCCTTAAGAACATTCTTAAGCCTTGTCTCAACATGTTCTGACTTCCTCAATGAGCAGAAAAGAATGAGCATCTTGATAGTCCTGAAATAGAAAGTGAAGCAGATCAGCTGTGTGTGTGTCTGACTTGTTCAGTTGATATTAGTGAAGTTATTACAGCCTTTGGCTGATTCTGGTTGTCCTACATGCCATTCGTACCAGTGGCCTTTGCTTCAGGTTGAACTTGTAGGTGGAGAGCAGGCAGGGAAGGAACAGGGCTGGTTTAGACTGGTCTAGCCTGCTAGCTTCTACTAAGCTGATGGCTAGTGAAATGGCAATGAACAGGGAGAATTGTATGTGGGCCAGGAGACCACATCTTTAGTAATCTATATCACCCAGCATTCCACTTGTTTGCAGCATGTGAGTCTTTCAGATAGGCAGCAGTCTTTGGTAACTGAAAGAATCAGTTTGCCATAAGTGTTTTATGGTGATAGGATACTGCTGCTCAGGAAGCGTATCATCACCAGCGCTATTTTCTTTTGAACTGCCTTTTTTGGACTAGAGACCACAAAATAATGCAATTCATGAATCTTTCAAGATTTTGCAACACCTCTGATGACTTCCACAGTGGGATATTAAAGGCTTGGCACCCACAGTTGCACTCACTAAGACAGAGCAATGGCTGAAGGTCTAAGAAGGTACCACTGGGGCATTGCTATTGCTACCGCTCAGCATTTGCTGTCTGATTGATCTGTGTAATAGGCCTCTCTGCCTAATAGTTGAGCTGGCCTTATCTATCCTCTATAGTTAATTGTTTAATACCTGATATTACTAAATGCAGAAAGGATCCCCTTAGGTTTAATATAACATAATCTGAAATGTTACCTGAAACGTGCAGAACTGGGTGTGCTGTCTTACATTCTTTTGTTGGATTATTATTAGAGTCATATTTATTCACATGCAGGGGATGTTTCACAGCACTGTAAACACAGGGCTATGGAAAAGAGGAGGGAAGCACGTGAAGTCCAGTATAGACCAGGGATGGGGACTGAAGTCATGGGAGTCGCTGTCAAGTTGGACTTAAGTTGCACCTGTGACTTGACTCGGACTTCACTCAGCTTTTCCCCCCCCCAATGACCTGGACCTGACTCATGACTTAGAACCCACCCATCCCCTCCCTTTTTCTGGAGAGAGAGAAAAGCTCATTTTTAATAGGGACTTGGACTTTGGACCAAAGCGTTGGACTTGGTATCAAAGATTTGGGCTTAGGACTCGGACTCAAAGACTTGCCAGCATCCCTGGTGTAGGCCATTTCTTGAAGGTGAAGACATTCCCATTAAGAGTGAACATATATCTGAAGAGAATAAAAGTATTGTCTCTGTTGTCTGTTGTTTCACACAACATGACAAGAGAAACATATAGTTGCTCCTTCCACGTGGTCATTTTAGAATCTCTCTCCCAGGTTTGGTTTTGTTTTTTCCCAGTGCCCTGACAGTTCCAATAAGGTCGTAGTTTTGCGAAGTGGACAGTAACTTGGGGGAAGGTGAACTGTGTTGTGGCCCTGAGCAGTCATGTCAGCTTGTAATCATATTTTCCTCTCTCTCTTTCCTTACTCTTCACTCCCTCCTGGCTTGTCTCTGGCCTCCTGTCACTTCTAGTCTCTGGGAACATTGTCTCCGTATTCTCAGGTAATCACGCAGGCAACTGTGAGGGCTTGTAGAATTAGAGCTGAAGAAGCGTTTTCAGAGAGCTAGGCCATAAAGGCCCCGATGTTGAGCAGCGAGGGAATTGAACTCTGTTGCTCCTCAGCCACTGTAGAAAATAGCTTCAGATGATATTAAATTAGGAGTGCCCGTGGTAACACAGTAAATTGTATTTCTGTAAACAACACATTTGTGAATGCACAGACAGAAAAATACACACAGGCACACACACACACTTATACCCTACCTTCAGTTGGGAAGGTGAAGTGGCTGCCCCAAATAAAATCAAAAGTATAGGACTAGACTGTGGTCTCTAAACACACTGCCCTACAAATTGACTCTTTTATTACCAATAACCTTTTATTCTTCCAGGATATTTATGAAAGCATGGACATCAGGCAGCGGCGAGCCTCCAGCCCAGGCTACATTGACTCTCCCATCTACAGCCGCCAAGGCATGTCCCCTACCATTCCACGCTCTCCACATCATTATTACCGCTCAGGTAAGGACATGGCTCTCTTTTCATTAGGATTCAGCTGTGTGTCTTTGCTAGTGAGAAACTTGCGTTGTAATGTTATCATCGGGACATACATGTTTCTCCCCAAGAGGCATTCGGTGCCAGAACATCTTTCCATTTCCCAGAAGATTTTGCAACATGAAGTATTATTTAGGGGGAAACGGTGGGAATAGAGCAAGAATGGCACATATGCCCCTAATCGTCTTCTGTGTTGTGCAGGACCGGTTCTTGACAGAGTGGTAGAGAAGTGACCAACTGTATTACAGTCTTATCTAAGATGAGTTTATTACTGGGACTTCACTCCACTGCGTATATGGCATCCTCTCTCTGTGGCACGTTCAAGTCTAGAGCTAAAAAGGAAAGGAGCAGATGATGTGGGAAGCATTCAATATGAGGACTCCAGTCTAGAGCTGAAAAGGAAAGGAGCAGATGATGTGGGAAGCAATGGATGCCACAGGACTCATATGTGCGCACACATAGAGGTGTTAGAAAATTTTCCTTCAGCATGAGACATGCAAACAACACTGAGTTTTGGCATGCTGTGCTAGGCAGATGGCACAACAGGGAAGAAAAAACACAGATAAAAGCATGTCCAGCAGAATGGTCTAATTCTCTTTAATATATGTGCTCATCAGAACCTCACCCTCTGCCAAAATAAAGTATTTGTTACAGTTGTCACTGGACTCTGCACAGCTGGTGCCAGTTAGGTGCCAGGCGGGTCGGTCCCGGCATGGAATTTCTGGCACTCCTGCACTGGATTTAGCACTGCCACTGATGGCATGCACCTGTGGGATTTTCCTCTGGCTCCTGTTCATCTGTGAACCTGACACTTCTCCTTCGACGTGGTGTGTAGGATTCACCCTCATCACCATCACGCCACCCTTCCATCCATGCACCCTGCTCACGGATTCACAGGTGGCTTGCTACTCTTCTAACATGGCTGCTTTTTATAACACCAATTTTCCTCTGCCTCTCTTTTTCTTTCCCTGCTGCTCCCCTCCAATCTGCTCTTTCAAGGAACAGAGAGTGGGCGCAGCTCCCCCTATTATAGCCAGTTAGATGTGAGGTCTTCTACACCAACCTCATACCAAGCTCCTAAGCATTTCCACATTCCAGGTAGGCTGTGGAGGCCTCTGGCCAGCCTGTGAAGGAGCGTTGTGTCCTTTTTCTTTTTCTTTTTCATTTAGTCTCTCTTTTTTTTACAATTGGTATGCATGCATGTGCCACATGTGTATACTGCATGACTAGCGCTTTTGCCAGCCTAGAGTAAGCTAGCAACAGCAAGAGACATTTGCATGATAGAGGCCATCCATAAATAAGACCTGCTGCCTTCGTCCTGCCTACTCCACCATCTGTGTTCACCCTCCACTACAGCTTCTCTCTCCTGTAGAAAGAAAAGACTCTGCTGCTCCTTTCCTTCCTTTCTCTTCCTTTGAGGAGCAGAGGGTAAGGTGTTCTTCCGCACCCATCCTTGACAGAGCATTTATCTAATACTCCTCCTGCTCCCTTCAGGGCCCACTGCACCTTTCCCCCAGATATCTCTGGGCCTGTCAGATGGCTGCTGCCTTCCAGCCGAGACTCCAGGGGCCACCAGGTAAGGGCCACTGCTTTGCCCTTCCTGCAGGGAGGGAGGGATGGGAGTGAACACCTTTCCTTTGTCAGTGCACAAGTAGATATATATATATATGCATCCTCCTCATCTGTCTGCAACCAGCTTTGCTGATGAGATAAATCCAGATCCATTGGTTCAACCAAAGCTCCTCAGGTTCCCCACCTGCCTAATTGCTGGGCAGCCCTGGTAGCCCTCCTCAGGCCCCCAGCCTAGACGGACGACCAATCAAGCGGGGTGGGGGCCTTCGGAACCTTTTGACATACACTCTGATGACTTCTAAGATGGCAAATCTCAGTCAGTTTGTGCATAGCAGAGGAACCCAGGTGAAAGACCTTATGGTTAGGGTTTGATTTTACTCCCTTCAAGATTTCTTCAGCAGTTGGTCCTGCTGGGAGTGCTCCGAGTTAGAGCTCAGTTCTTAAGCACTCTGAAACATTCATAGAGAGCTCTCAGTCTCAGTGCATTATCTGGATCAATGGAGGGGCATGAAGCAAGCTTGTAGTCATGCAATGCCATTTATGAAATCAGTCCAGAGTTGAAGGCATGGCCTTCACTGCTGGCAGGCAAGATCCCCTTCTTACCTAAAAAGGTCCAGTAGCATTCTGGAATTTTCCCTGCCGCTTTTCCTTCTATCCTTGCCTCTGTTGGAAATGAGGTTCCGACACATGCATGATCCTGTAGCTTTTGCCGATGTCTTTTATGGATGGCCTGGTGCCTGCTCCAACTGTTCAGCTCATCAGTAAGCCTTCGTGCTGGTATGGTAGCTCCTCTTCCCGGCTTGCTTTGCTTCTCTCTTGTTTGATGAGACTTTGACTGATTTGTTTTGCTCTTTTATAAGGGATGGGGTGTGGATTATGTCCCTGTATCTCTAAGAAACCAATTCATAAATCACCTGGTGCCACTGGCAGACAAGATGATGGCCTCCAGTGCCACCTGAATTAAGCCCTTCCCTCCCCTGAACTGAGGCAAGCTGCCAGATGTACCAGAAGGAAAAATGTCTGGCTGCCCTGCATGCTGTTAATAGTGAGCATGCTCACAGCATGACCTTTGTGCATGGACACATTCTCTGTTGTATGGCTGTCTACAGCACACATCACTCTAAACAGGGTTAATTCCTTCTTCCCCCATCAAACCAGCTCCCAACCTATCTGTGCTCTGCAGATACTTAGACTAAGGCTGCCTCGCTTTGTGCAATACTCTGGAAAGGGACAGGGGTGGGGGAGTACTGAACAGAGTGAACGGGCAGTTTGGTCATGGGTGGGCATATTATCCACACATGCAGTGGCTCCTGTGACTCTACTATTCACACTCTGGCTCCTACCCCTTTTCTCTGTCTTCTTCTTCTTTCCTTCATTCTCTTTCTTTTTGCCTCCAGCTGCTGCAGAGAGTAACATCTACCGGAAGCCTCCCATCTATAAAAGACACGGTACAGTTTGGGCATGGCTTTGGCACATATATGAACATGCATAACAAAGTCCAGATCCACTTTAGCTACAGTGCAGTGCATTGAATGTGGAGTGGTTCCATGAGCTTTACAGCAGTTGTGCCAAGGGACCAGAACCGGACACGATGGATCCTGAGAAAAAGGGAAATGTACTTTGGGGTATCTCTGGCCTCTGAAGTAGGGATGAGAAAGATAAGAGTAGAAAAGTCCGGATATGCTATACCTCCCTTTGAGGTTCCTTATAAGGTAGGGGGCATCAAGCTTTGTCTTAGACTACCTTCAAGAAGAATCACACCTAAGTAGGCAAAGCAACAATGGTCTGTTTAGTTTACAATTCTTATTCTCTTACTAACTTAAGAGAAAACTAAAGGACTACATGCCCCACTCTGTGTATTAAGGTGGCATACTGTTGTTACTTCTGCCACCAGTAAATACAGTTTTATGAGAAGGAGGTAAAAGAAATGGCATCACTTCCTTGGCCAGGTCCAAGCCAGAAAGGGCAGCAAAAATGATTGGCCTGTGTTCTTGGAGGGCTATGGGGTGGGCGGAGAGCCAACAGCTCTGGACAGGGAAGCATCTGGGGAGATGAAGGTGATGGCGCTGAACAATTGAAGGTCACGGACATGGATTTTATAAGGAAATAAGAATGGACACGGTGTGAGGACAAGTCATGGAGGAAGGCTTTAGACCTGAGGGTGAAAGGTTTGTACTGGATCCAAGACCAGAATTTGAAAAGTTACTTTTAAGAAGAATAAATATTGTGACATGCTGAAACAAATCATAACTAAGGAATGTTAGAGTGATGCTCTGGAAAGATGAAACTTTGATCCTGGGGATGGCAAGACAACATCCAAATGTTAATACCAGAGAACCACATGGTGATGCGGGGTTGGGTACTCTATCAGTGCCATGGGGGATACTTTTCTATGGGTTCATTTTATGATAAGTTTAAATCTTGACAGGGGCAGTTGCATGCAATTAAATATTATTGTAATCATGAGTTGAGCATACAGAGAAGTATGTAGCTCTTACAAGCCTTCATATTGGTGCAAAGGGTACTCCCCAGGTAAGTTAAAAGCTGTAAATAGAGGGATTATCCCATGGGCAGCATTAACAGGATGGGAAGAAAAGCACATTGCCTACTATTATTTACTCTTAGGGAACAGGCAGCCTGTGTTCTGAATAAAGGGCAGGAGGGCTCAACGTGCTACTTTGGGGAAAGATGTCCTGACTGCTTGGAGCGTGAGTCATCCCTGTTCTAGGGTGGGTCAGAAGGTATTCTGCCCTTGGAAAGATCATCATCCTGTACCTCCTTGGGTAAATTTGCTGTAATTGTGGGAACCTTGATTCTGGAGGAAGAATGTTTCAGGAGCAGTACATCACCATCCTATATGCCCTACGTGGATGTGCTCAACAAACAGTAGTGCAGATAATGAAATAAGAATTGTGCCACTAAAGTTAACTGTATATTCATAAATGCCAACACATGACATAATCAGACTTGATCTAAATGAGATAGGCTGTTTTAAGCAAAGAAAGCCTGATGTACAGCTGATCTGAACTTGGTGTAAAGGAAGAGGTACTGTGGGTAGGGAAAGGCAGGGCAGGGCAGGGCAGGCCTGGCTTCAAGGCAGGATGTTCTACACTCTCAACTGTTCTTGGCAAGGAAGCCACACAAACAGTTTATCTTTAGGCCTTCAGAGGTCACAGCAGATGGAGGCACGCCCTCCACCAGACAGGCTCTAGCAGTGAGGAGGAAGGATTTGCACTCGGCTCACCAATCTCCTTTTTGTTTTAGAAGCCTTTCAGCTTTCCCTTTAACATGGTAACCAGCTATCTCGTCCTCTCTTTCCTTCCCCCTTCCATATTTGCTGTCTGCTCTTACACCTTGCCCTGCTGGCTGCACCCCACTGCATTGTAAGTAACTTACCTTTGCCTCTCTTCTTTACAGCAGCAAACCCCTTTGTGCATGTTCCCTCAGACTTCCCTCAGCCAGCCTTTTTAGTTTGAAAACTTGCATTTCTGCTCTATTTGGTGGATGTAAAATAGCTTTCTCAGGAGATTTTGAAAAATGACTCCTAGTGGAATTGCAATCACGTAATGCAGATTACATATTCTTAAGTACTCTAAAAATATCCTCTTGTACACTGAATCTGGAGTGTTGCCTGTTGTTTTAATGCACATTTAAGGGCACACATTCAAAACACAAATAACTTAAACCAGTTATCGTTTAGTCCCACTTTATGCACTCCTGACTTGTGAACTGGGGATGAACATTGTTCCAAACTAATAAAACTACTGGAAAACGCATGATACAAAGTGGTGGATAACGTAAGCTTTGTTTGCAAGGATTCCCGAAGCAAGGGGTGATTGCTGTTAGAGTTAATTAAATCTGCTGATGCCCCCACTATTGTCACCAAGTTCTACTTAGGCCTTGAGAGGGAAGCTGATCCTGGCACCAACAGAAAATTCCTTCTCTCTGCCTTAATCACAACCTGGAGATGGGGATGGTTGAGTTTTCATCAGGGCCAAGATGGACAATCAAAAAAGGGATTTAAAAATTTACACATATGCATTACCCTTAACCCTGTAACATAAGCTTTCCATAGTGCCAGTGGAACCCTTCTTACCATCCTACCAACCTGAACTGACCCGATGTTGTGTGATTTTTGACACTAAATAGGGTCAGGCTTGATTAATAATTGGATGGAAGACCATCAAGGAATACTAGGCTATCTGGTGAAAGGAGGTAGAGAATCTTAGCTGGATTCCTGAAGAGCTACGGCCGGTCAAAGATGATAATACTGGGCTAGAGGGACGCGCGGCCCTTTCCCAGCTTCCTGTTCATCCTTTCCCCTCCCTGCAGCTATGGTTGTTAAATGGGGTTGGGGAGAGTGGTTTAATGCATTTAATGTTATTTCTGAAAGATCGGATTTGTGCATAAGGAGGATATGAGGCTTATACTGACATTTAAGTTCTGTCTGTAACAGGGCTCTTCTGTGTAATACACCTCATTCACTCAAGACACACCAAGCCATGCTCTAATGCATGGGCTTCAGACTGGGTATGGGGGGGAGCGGTATGAGGAATTTGGGTTTCTGGAGGGAAATTATTCGTGCTTAGTATGAATTTAAAATAATTTTTATTCAGTTAATGGCCAGAATCCTATTGGTGTTCACATGTGGTTTGTGTAATTTACTGCAGTTAATTGTGACTAATTGACAAGACAGTAGGGCACATCTCCGTTGCTCAGTTGGGTGCATGATCAGGCCTGCAACCCAATGATACCCTGGTGCCGTATCAGTTGCCTGTGACAGCTGTGGCAAGTTATAGAGATCTTATGAAAACACCAAGAGGGTTCCGACTATTGTGTTTAATTTTAATTATGAATTGGATTTTCTGCCAAAAGTGGTCTGGGTGATGACAAAGGAGATGTAGGGAGGTGTGATCATCAAGGTGGTATGATGTTGAAAAGTTTGGAAAGCCTTCTTTGGGAGATACTGCTCCTTTTTTAGAGTTATTGCCTGTTCCCTCTGCTGTAAGGACCAAAGTACATGAAAGTACTAGGCACAGACATTGTACCCCGGTTTAAAATCCAAGCAGAGGAAGGAAGCAGAGCTTTAACCCCTCATACAAACACACACACAATCCCAGTCTCCATCTACCTCAGTCCCTAACATTGATTGATGTTGGAAGCATCTCTTGCTTTTCACTTTGGCAAGTACAGGAGGTCTGGTAGCCTGTTCCATCACAAATGAGATTAGCTTCCCCCATCCACACCTGCTGTCTCCTTTTAAAGAGCCACGGCCACAACTGCATATTGTCTAGTTGGAGCATGAGACTGGACCATTTAGAGAGAGGATGTGGTATCTGTTCCTTTTTACTATTTAAATGAGAAATGCCTTTAATAATCAAAAATGCAGCCAGACCTCCTCCATAAGTACTGGGACCAATGTTGGCCATCTGGCAGTGATTTTTTTTTAAAAAAAACTGTGAACAACGAATGGTGCCAGTGGGTGACATGGGGCTCAAGTGTGATCCCGTTCAGGAACCTCTGTTGAAGGAGCATTTCCAGATAGCCAAGGCAGGTTCCTGGATGATATTCTGGGGTGCAGTTACAGTTTGCCATTCATTATGATGCCAGTGTACCTCTGTGCTAAGCACTTTTTTGGAATGAATGTTGCCACCCGATGTTTTAGAATACATGGCATTTTCAGACAGAGCTTTCTTGTGATAGCAAATAGAAGGCACGATACAATTATTCAGTCTTTTGGTCCATAATGGATGGAGGGAATGGAGTTGGAGGTCAGTATCGTGTGGGAAGAGAAAAGGAATTGTGAGTGAAGGAGGACCTCACCCCATAAAAATCAGCGAACAAGGCATGTGAATAGCATGGTAAAAGCCTTGTCTTGAACTATCCAGTGGCTAAAGTTAAACATGCCAGTAGCAGTTCCACATGTTTAAACACAACTCTGTCCTGATCATGTATACAAAAGAACAATTTTTAGCATAAAAGGGATGAGCAGGTAGGAGTGCACTCTAGTGCCGCCTAGAGTGGTCTGTTAGTCCAGATAGGCGGAGTATAAATTGAATGAATGAATGATGCCACATGTTTAAACACAGCTGATCATGTATAAAAACGAACAGTTTTTAGCATCAAAGGGATGAGCAGGTGGGAGTGCTGAGCTCTCAAACTCTCCATCACTTCCCTCTAAGTGTTAGCTTCACCTGGTCACATTTTGACTCAAATAACAGCCAGTGGCTATAAGGATGTGAGCTGTAATTCCAAGATGGTGGCTCTTCTTTCATTTCCCCATTGAATCAACAACTGGAACCAGCTGTTCTCTACATTGTATGTAATTTTAATTGCCTTGGATACAGAGGCCCGCCACCACCTCACGTCATTTGAGCCACAGCCTTCTGCAGAGTTCAGTTTTCTTTTCTGCCTTTTACTCGCCTTATCTTTTGCTTTCTCAGATGCCCAATCTGCAGCTACAAAAAGCAAAACCAGTGAGGATATTGCCCAGACTTCCAAATATAGTCCAGCCTATTCTCCAGACCCATACTACCATTCGGAGACGGAATACTGGACTTTTCAAGGATCACCTAAAGGTAACACTCAGCACTGCAGGGCACGATCCTTAACTGTGCCCTAGGGAAATGAGATGCTTAAGGTACAGAAGTAGTCTTAGACTGTCCAACTATAAGGGACAAGCAGGCTCTTATACCTAGAATCTGCAGACACTGGCCTCCTGCCGCCTGTAGAAAAACTCCTGAAATCCCTTTTCCACCAGTTAAAGGCTTCAAGGTTCAAGAAGCTGGTCTTGCTTTGCAATTTTTCCCTTTCAGGGCATTTCAAGTGGTAATGCTTGAGGAGAATAAGCCACTTCCTATTCAAAGGTCTATATCAAAGAAGCACCAGTCCTTTGATGCTTCAGAAATCCGTGTCTAATTTTGGCTGCATCTTTAGCAAACCAAGGCATGCTGTTGCCTTAATCTGATGCTACGTCTGTTGTTGTCGTGGTTGTTGCCTGATTGCCTTGCCATTATTTCCTTGCAGCACCACGAGTGCGGAGATTCTCATCAGGAGGAGAAGAAGATGGCTTTGATCGAGGGATGTATAAAGTGAGCGCTTACCTTCATTGATTCATCTTTGCCTGTTTTCATGCCACATTGGGAAATGTTGTTGCACCCCAGCTTCCAAAGGTTCTTTCCTCCTCGGGGTTAGTCTGCTGTCAGTGTCTTCATTGTACTGTACGTACTTCTGCTACTGTACGTCTAAGAAAGACAGACAGCACTTGGGCTGTTTTCTTTTTCTCTCCAGCTAGCATTCCTTTCTGAGGAATTGTCCATAGTTAGTCATTTCATTGCGGAAATAATGGCATCATCAAGTTCTTGTCAACAGTGATTAATGTATGTTATTGAATTGCTGTTGAGTGCATACCTTTATGAAAATGTGGAATTAGATTTTTTAAATAAATACTGTACCTGCTAACCTCAGTTCCACTGAATAAATACAAACTTGTGGCTGAAATCTTGTTGCTTAGCATAGTAAGTAGCAACTAGGGTAGACTCGTTAAATCAGCTGGGATTTCGTGATTCAACTCTTCCATAAGTTCCATTGATTCAATGAGTCTACTCTACTATAACTTACTATGCTAAGCAACAGGATTTCAGATACAAGACCCTGCCTGCATGTATCCATTACTTTAAAAAAGTAATCAGTTCATTACTTTAAAAAAGTAATCAATTGGAGTTATACTTTTAAATAACAGTTCTTAGAAATACTGACATGTTGGAACAAGAACCTGTAGCAGACCCAGATGCCAACTCTGTCAATGTGTCTACATTTGAAAAAAGACTATTAACAGACCTAGTAACGTAAGCCACAACATTAGAAGTTTGTATAATAGTTCAGTTTCCAATGTCATATATGCCATCATTTGCCAGCACAGCATTTTACATAAGAGAAACAGGCTGGTATTTACACAAAAGGATACATTTACATAAAATTGTTACCTCACAGCAAAATATTTAAGTCTTCCTGGACACACTGTTTCTGACCTTAAGGTGGGCACCCTTAAACAAAAGAAGTTAAACGACAGATTCTAGAGAGAAACAGCTAAACAAAAATCACCAAGAAGTTCAGCTTTGTCTCCCTTGGCTTGAACAGAAACAGGGGTTTTTAATCTTACTACATATGTTAATGTAAATATATCATGCAAGTATATCTGTGTTATTACACAGCTGTTGTATTTTTAATTACAACTGTGCAGACAGTTTTTTCTGCTTGTCAATTTTATATTCTTATTCTCTCTGCCCTCTATGATAGCTACTAAAAAACCCTATCAAAACTATGAGCCATACTCTTTTATTATACTAGATATAGTCAAAGACATTTCGTCATCCTGCATATTTTAATCTGCTTATGTATCCTTGATGTGACCTATCGGAGACCTTTAAATGGTTCTTAAGATCCCTATCTGACACACTGGTACACACTACAAGGATCATCTGTGACCTTAAAGACCTTAAAGATTGACTTTTACCACACTGCATCTTTTGCATTTCCATTACATTTCACATCATTGCTTTTGTCTTTGTCATCTAAATGCCTGCTTATTGTCTATTGAGGCAACACTTTATGCATATGAAGACGTGGACTACAGTCCAAGGAAGCTAATGCCAAATGAAACCCGTTAACCTGTAAGATACCACAAAGACATCTTGCTTCTTTTTGTGGCAACCAATTAAGGGGGTTATAAACCCAGTTATATTTTGCTACTATAGTTAGAATTTGCTGTTATAGCTAGAATTTTCTTAAAAGTAACTAAAATAATTTCCTTTCCAGATGTTCCGAAAGCATCCGAATGCTCCAAGCCACTAACTTTATTCTGTGATACTAACTTTATTCTCCTTTCTCTTCCCAAGCACCTCACCATCACTTCACCACTCATAAAAAAAAACGCAATGCATGATATGGGGCAGGCTTAAGCTATGCTGTGTTCCTCCTCCATCACTCTGCCCCAGGACTATATAATAATAATAATCATGTGCCAATTCTGACTTATAGTAGTCCTTTTCAGGGTTTTCTAGACAGAGAATACTCAGAAGTGGTTTGCCATGTCCTTTTTCTGAGGCCCCAAAACATACAGTTCTAACACAAAAAAGAGTGAATGTATCCCTCATTAAATGATAATGGTTATATCTTTGTTGCTGGAACTATTTCAAGGTAACTAATTATTTCCATATATGTGACATACTGTATTCCTTTTCTGTACCCTTTGTGATGCCTAGATCCATACTGGCATTGGCAGATTGATACTGAAGGAAGAAATGAAGGCACGATCCAATTCCTATGCTGACCCTTGGACGCCACCGCGCAGCTCAGCCGGCAGTCGAGAGGCTCTTCATACAGCTGGCTACGAAGGCTCTTTAAATGGCTGTAAGTGATAGCAGGAAAACCCAGTTATCCCCCTCCAGAGGCTCCGTTGCTCTGAACCCATGGCACAGAAGGGTTGTCTTTTCACAGGCCATCAAGTGCAACCTTGTGGCAGAAATGATTGTTTGTGGGAAGTATCACAGGCAGTGCTGAGTAATCCCAGCACAGTGTGATTTCTCTCTTCCAGTGCTAAGCCTGCAGCATTGGAAAGAGCAGCTGTTCAACTGCTATTGGTACAACTAGAACAGATCATTTAACTCTATGATAATCCAACCATCTAGTTCTTCAGTCCCCTAGTTGAACAAAATTAAATTGGAGCAGGGTTTTTTCCGCCCCTTTAGACATGTTGGTTCCAGCTGGATCTCATTGCCTAACCTAGACAGTACATTCAGCCAGAGATTATGAGAATCTGCACTGCAAATGAAGACACTAACAAAGTCTAGTGAGATTTTTAGAAGAAATCATTCTGATCACTTTCCTTCAAACTAGCATTTAATTTAAGAATTGTTGGATAGCTCATTGGTTGAGGTATCTGTCTGTGGAGCCAGACATTGGCAGTTCAATTCCACACTGTGCCTCCTTGACAAGGACCGGACTTGATGATCCATAGGGCCCAGCTCCACAGTTTTCAGATGATGATGATGATGATGACTAACGGCCCATCCAGAAAAGTTTTGTGGCTTGGATTGATGTGCATTGGATCCATTTTACCCATGGATCTGGATTTACTCACTGCAAGGTTCCTTACCTGTAGTCAGTTTTCCTTCGGTGTAAGCAAGATGGGATTTCTCACACTGACAACATGTCTCCTCCCTTCATCCCCATTCTCTGCTCCGTCTCCTGCCCTCCGCCCCTCCCTTGATGTTGCCTGGTTTGCTAGTGGACGCTTCCTTTTAGTGAAGAAGAAGGTGTTGGTTTCTTCCTAACATGGATAAAAAAATCTAAAGAGTTTGAAGGAGGACTTGGGGCCATCAGCATTTGGGGCAGGGGGGCAGCGTGTTGTATTGAACTTGCCAGGCATGAAGGTGAGAGGATGCTATGGTGGGGAGAAAACCCAAACTGCCCACCCCAGTTAGAGAATCAGCCAGAGGCAGTCCTGCTCTTTACTGAGAACACTCCCACCGCTGACATCATAGCTGATGTCAGGGAGAGTTGTAACTGTACCCACATCCCATAGGACCAGTGCTTCCTTCAAGGCATGTGGTTCTGCTATCCAAATCAATGGGCGACTGAGCCACCTCTTAAACAGGAGCAGCTACAACATGTAAATTGGCCCCAAGTCTCTGTCTGGGTTTATCACTCTGCATTTGCACTGGCATTACCTGCCTTGTTCAAACCACCCTTCAGCCTTTTAAATGGTAAGGGAGAAACAGCCAGGATCATTAAGTAAAATTAGAAAGTGTCAGACTGGCTTATGAACATAGAAGGGATAAGAGCAAGTACATGGGCAGCTATCAGTAGATCATTGGATGGTTTGAAGTGGATCACCTACTAATGTCTGGATGCCACCCACATCCCACTGGGGTGAATGATGGCAAAGCGGAAAAAAAAGCCTTCTCTGTAATGTCCCCTTCCACTCTCTGTCACATGTTCTCCCAGCTGCCAGAAATCTGGCATTAAGATCTTCCTCTGCTGGCAAGTTTTCAGTCTCTTAGTTGTTGCTTTTATTCTTTACTTTATTGCTGGCTTTTATTACTTGGTATGTCTTTATTGCTTTAATACTGCCATCAGTTCTCTTATTTGGTTTGGTTGTCTGTTGATTGATTGGCTTGCGTTTTTATTGTTGTTGCCTGCCCGTGAGGGCATTCATCAAACAGGCGGGATATCAATGTAATCAAACAGACAAACCATTTCTGAACCAATCATTTGCACTTAATTTGAAGTGATTTTGTGATTTTAAAAGGAAAATTGCCAAGATCCCACGCACCCAAACCCTAGCCATGTTTGGGCTAAGGGTGGGAAGCCGTTTAGGGAAATTAACTCTGCTAGAAGAAGATGAGTGGGTGTCCAGCCAAGATTCTTTGTCATTTCCCAATCTGTCACAGGCTAAATATATTGTATCAAGCATGGCGGTGTGTATTTCTGTGTGTTTTTATGCAGATTTTCAAAATTTCAGGAAGTTAGAAGAATAATTAGTATGCTTTCAGCTAGCTTGAGCTGTGGGATAAGTCTCACAATAAAAGAATGCTTACAAGAAAAAGTATCCTTAAAAAACAAATTTCTATATAAGCAGATATATGTGCAGGCATGTGTGCTGGTATTTGTGACTTTCTGTTAAATTGTGTATGCATTCCAGGCTTAACATATATACCTTCTTCCACACGTAGACACTCACGCTATAGTGTTCCCTGGGGCACCCTACCCGTCGGAGCCTGAAGTAGCCCGCCATCAATATTTGATGGAATGCCATATTATCCACTTTCACTTGTTTCCCCTCATGCAAAGGGAGTGTGGGTGAGGGGCGAGCTGGAGAACAGGAAAGTGCAGTCCTACAGTGGTGCCAGCTGGCCACTAGATGGGATGGTTGAGTCCTTCTTGGTTCGTTTTGGGCGGCTGTATTTTTCAAGCCACAAAAGGCTGCCTCCACTACAAGTAGACACAGCAAGCAATCATTTGTACTGTTTCACCCATCCTCTTTCCCTCTCCTTCAAGCAGCTTTGGGAGTAGCAATGGAAAAACCTAACAGTTTTAATTTCCACTCTTGAATCCCTGAATTCCACCTGCATTTTTTCCTGTCCTTGTTTCACACAGCATTGAGGTTTTATCTTTGTGCACATTTGTGTGTGTGTGTATGTGTGTGTTTATTTGTCTGTCCGTCTGTTTGTTTGTTCATTTGTTTGTTTGACTTGTATACTGCCCCACAGTGCATACACTCTCTGGGTGGTTCACAACACTGTAAAACCACATTATAATAAATGAAACCAAGTACCTTGCAATAAATACCATACAATAGAATAAAACCTTATCTCTAGTTAAATAAATAAATATTTCACAAAAAAATGTGTACATAGTTGTGTACAAACTATGAGATTTCTTATACAAATGTAAGGTTTCTGGCGCAACATTCTACCAGATTTACAAATATGCCTGATTAGCTAAAGTGTGTGTGTTTTTCCATTTTAGCCAGTCTCATTCTAAAATGTGCACACAGTTTTGTGTGTTTATTTTTTCTAAACACCCAGAAGTCTTGCTAAATATGCAGATTCATGGAGCACGGTGTGTTTCTTCTTGAGAGATGCGAAAATGCTATTCTTATCGAGAGGGTCAGATCCACTGCTGCCGCCATCACTGCCACAACTGAATTTGTTGCCAAAATCTAACAGAGCAAAGTGTCCTTTTCATATTCAAAGTACCTTTTCTTCTTTAAAACAAGGTGCATGATTCCTGCACATATTTTTTTTCCTTTTACAGATAGATTCATGCTCCCAGAAGCCTCTATTTGTAAACAAAGCAGACGGCAAGTCTTAAGAGGAAAACCTGGGTTAAAATGAACATCCTGCCTTTTTCACTTTGTCACCAAGTTATAAGAACAAGTCAGTAATTCAGTGGTAGCACAGTGAAAGTACGTTTTAGTTCCTGATTTCTTATTTTTGTCTTTCCCTACAGCACCTCGGACACATTATCTGGCAGACAGTGGTATGTTTATCCCTATTTTCTACCTCTTGTAGTACTTTTTCATCCAACTTAGAGAAAGTCTGTGAATTTGGGAGCTTATGCAGCCAGAACAACCTGCAAGACTGTAGAAATTGTACACAAAACTGTACAATCTTTGTTTTGCTAGTGAGCTGCAGGCTAGGATCTTTCTTAAGTGCTTTTCTTGATGTGAGGCTTCTCACAAATATAACCAGAAGGATGTCAGGGAGAGAGACTGAGTGGCAGAGCCCGCATTGCCACTATACAGGTTGAAATGGGTTATTTCAGAAGGAAGACTTCAGGTATCCACTAGATTTAAACTTACCAGAACACTCTGTTAAGAATCTCAAAGTGGCTATTACAGGGGCAGAAAACTTGCAAAGGGGAACTCAAGAGGAAGAAAAAAGACAGTAGAAACTGTAAAAAAGATTCAGTGTATTTCTACAGGCTTCAAGAGCAATAGCATCTAAGGCTGCTGTGTGTGTTCTGTGCTGTCAAGACAGAACCAAATTATAGTTACCCTAATAGGGCTCTCAAGGTTAAGTGAGTAATTTAAGGAGTTCTTTAACCAGTTCCACTCCTCCAGTAAATTTCCATGGCCCAGTGGGGATTTGAACCCTTGTTCTCCAGAGTACTAGTCCATCACCTATCCATTACACCATACTGGGAATCCAAAGCTGTTCATCTCACCATAAATATTAATAACCCAAGTTTCTTGTGGACATAAGACAGTTGGCCCCTGGACAGATTCTGACCTCTGTCCCAGGAACATCTCTTAGCATTCCTGTGACAGCGAAGTTCAGTTTGTTCCCCTGGCTAGGACCTGCCAATTGAAGTAATTAACAGTTTGATAGTCTCATTCCTATATTAATTTGCCCTTTGTCACTTTGTCTATTGTCAGTGTCCTCACCTGTTCATCATGATAGCTATAGGAATGTATTTCTATTATTGTCTATTTGTATTCCTTTGACTGAAGAAATGGATTTTGATCCACAAAAGCTCACACTGAAATAAAACTATTAGTCTTTAAACTGGTACAAAATGTTGCCTTTTCTTTTTTTTATTTTGCCAACATTTTTTAGTTTATTTTTTAGGTATTTTTACCATTAATGTTGATGTTTTGGGCAACTACTTTTCATGTTCCTCCAGTGAACTGTATCTACCAGTCTAGGAGATATAATGATTTCTTGACAGTCAGTGTGGTAAGAGTGCTGACAACAGCCAGGAAGACCTGGCTTAAAATTTGTCACTGAGCCAAGAGGCTCACTGGGCAGGTTTGGGGCTAGCCTATATTTCCCATCCTAACCCACTTCATGAGCTGGTTAGATAGCTCAGTGGTTTAAATATCTGGCTACAGAGCCAGAGGTTTAGAGTTTGATTTCCCACTCTGTCCTCTGTGCGTAGAGACAGCCTGTGTACCCTTGGGCAAGCTGCACCGTCCCAGGGTGCCCCCAAAAGAAAGGAACGGCAAACCACTTCTGTGTATTCTCTACTGGAAAACCATGAAAAGAGTCAACATAAGGCAGAATTAACCTAATGGCACGTAGTTATTATTTAACCTGCTTCACGGGAGTTGATTGTAAAGATTAAATAGGGGCAGAGCCATACACAACACTGTGAACTGAGCAAATGTTGTGGGATAAAAAATAGCAATAAAGAGCAATAGCAGAGCTTTTAAAACCAACTTTTTGATGCTGCAACTCATAGAAACCTGCAGTCAGCAGGACCAATGGCTAGTAGATTTTCCTGAAGACTCTTGTCCCTGGTGCCTATCCATTCCTGTTCTTCTTAGCCTCTCTCTCTTTTTTTTTCTTTTTTCAGATCCCCTCATTTCAAAATCTGCCTCTCTTCCTGCGTACAGAAGGAATGGGTTGCACAGGGTAAGAGTGTCTCTCATCCAGTAGGTGGCAGTAGCATTTCCAACTCTGTTTCTTCCTGGGTCATGTCTCCTCCTTTGGTGGTACAAGCATCCTGGATGCTTCTCTTTGATGAGCCATTAGGAAGAGGAACCACCCCGCCTCCCCCAAAGTATCTTTGTTAGGCATGATGGAAATCCCCAGTGCCAGGTTCAAAAGCAAAGAGAGTGTCCTTTCTTCGGGAGGACATGCATTCCCTTCATACCAGGAAGGCTTTGAGCTGGGAAGCAGTTGCTAAGAAACAGCTGTGAAGATCCTCTGAAAAGCCATGGTCCGGTTAGACTCCCAGTGGGAACTGGGGACCCAGAAAGCCGGAGACACTTTGGAAAATGCAGGAGTGGCTGATGCCTCCCCACTAGTTCTGAATTGTTTCCAAGCTTCTGGAGTTATGCAAAGGAAAAAGAGGGTGGAGGGAAACACCCTGTGCTTCAGATAATGTTTCTCCGGCAAGGTCTAAAAAAAATCCACAGCTCAGGACTAGCGGTTGGGGACAAACAGCTGTTTAAATGAGAGTAAAGTGGTTTAGGGTAAGATGGAACTTGGTAGTAAGTGATCCCCAAGGGAGATTTGCCTGGCAACTGACCGGCCCTCACATTAGGCAGAGGGAGGCGGATGCCTCGGGTGCAGCAGGTACTGAGGTGACACAGATCGTGGTAAGGGGCTGGAGGACAGAGCTGTCCGTTGTGTTTACCATCTCACGGAGTGGGCCTTGATCCTCTTTATTATTTGTATACTGACTGTTTTAGATTTAATATTGTCTTTCAATGATGTAAGCCACCTTGGGTCCTTTTAAAGAAGAAAAGGCGGGGTAAAAAATATTTCAGATAAATAAATATGTAAATACAATGGAGGATGGTGTCCCGCTAGCAATGTGGAAGTGAGGTTCAGTTAGCAGTTCGCTCCATTATGAATGTGTATAGTGCTGATGGGAGACGTATCTTGTCATTTGTCTCAGGCAGCAAAATGTCTTGGGTTGACCCTGAAAACCACTGTTTACATGAATTTTCCCATCATATCCAAAGGATCCAGAAACTATTAGTGGTATTTAATCTACTCCTTAGAGGGAACTACTGTACGTACTTCATAAGTCTGGCAAGCTCCATAGACTATAAGCTAGTACATGATCTTGGTGTGCTGACCTTCAGGGTTTTTTAAAAAATAAAATTGGGTATTTTATATTTGCCCTTAAGAGCAGAATAGCATCTAATGAGTCAAGATAAATCATGGCAAAATGTTACCACAATTATTCTTAGATTGGTTGGTTTGATGCTGATAAATGGTTTTGTTCTCAAACATTGGCTAAGAATCCTGACTTCTTGGTCATTAGGATGTTCCTCCTGGCTCATCATTTAGCTGATTAATCCTTGCTATGCACACAAGCTGGGTAAGTTTTAAGAATGCCTTTCTGAATCATCATACAGCAGGACAGAACGATTTTGTCCCCCAGAGTTAAATTGTATTGCAGAATTCACACCAAAGTGCAATCTACAAGATAGGCATTTTATGACATTATTTCCTGCACAGTTATAAACAATCAGTTTGTAGCCCATTAACCCTCCTATGTAACAGTGGGACATTTGTGTCTTGCAGATTATACCCAGAAATGTAGGTCATTGCACAACATCATCACCTGCAAAATGATTCTCCCAGTTTAAGCTCCTTGCCAGGAATAGTTTTATCCTAAAATGGCGGGGAAAGCAACTGTCCCGGTAAATCAACTAATAGTTTAGTTTAGACTATTTTTGTGCCAGCCAAATTGGGATTTTTTTAAAAAATGCCATGTGCCAATTTTCATGAAACATGATGCAGTGAAGCAGAAGTGACACACTTAAGTAGACAAGTCCCATTTGAACAAAATTGAAATTTCTTCTCTTGGGGAGACATTAGAGTTCATTTAAGTCAAGAATTACCTGACAGCACAGGAAACATAGTTTTAGTGTTGTTTTCATTTGGCTTGGTTTTTTACATTATGATAGTTTACTTTTACTCTGCCTAGTGTTTTCTGGCTCTGGATGTTTGGATGGAACAGATTTGGTTCAGCAAACTCACAAGTACATCTTGGGAGGTGGGCCATTTTAAAACCTAGATTTACATTGGCATTCTCACTGGGGTCAAAAATATCCCATAATTCAAACACTGCATGTGTTTATCCTAGTGCAAGAGGGTTAAGCAACCATCTTTTCCCAGAACTCTGCCAATGGAAGCAGCTCTAAAAGAGCATGGTGATATTTGATGGGGTTCCTAATATGCTGACCTCGTTTTTCTCTGTGTTTGTCATTTGTTCTGCAGCCTCCCAGTGCCGAGCTGTTCCACTATGACAGTACCAATGCCGTCAACTGGGGGATGCGAGGTGAGCTGAAGGCTTGAGGAATTCCACAGGGTGCATTTGTAAAGTCTGAAAGTTCTTGTTCAGCTGTTAATGCTTGCTAGAGATCATGCTATTTGTGTATTAGACAACAAGTTTTTCTGGGGAAAGTTTCTGCAGAACGTTATAAAAACCAGGACGGATACAATAGTATTGGTTATTACAAGCCATGATGAAGCCAATTCTAAGTGCAAAGCCAGCACAACAATTGATGTTGGTTACAATTTAGCCAGGGATGTGTGTGGCAAGCACAAACAGGCTATCAATGTTGGTCCAGGGAACACAAGTCAACTTTGTGAGGATTACAGTGTTATTTTTTTATTCTAAATAAAAGTAGGAACCAGCTATAAATAAGCTGTTTTAGGTCACATTGATTTTAGTTTGACTGGAGCTGAGCACATGCTTAAACCCAGCTGAAGTTAATAGCTGGACTGGGCTTCTGGTTTCTACCTTTGATGGCTATACATAAAGCCTTGAAAGTAAACAGTAAGCTCCAGGTGAAATCTAGGAAGCAAGCAGGGGGCTTAGGTAGTATTTCTAGCAGTCAGAGGGTGAGGTTTCTGTACAAAGCTTAATACAATTCCTAAAGACTAATAATGCCTTAGTACAAACTGCTAATTATTCAGTCAAGACAATATCTGGCTATTCCATTTTCCCCTCCAGAACAGATTTTTATGGTAGGATGAACTAATGAGAAAAAATTTAAGTGTTGCAGATGGAAGACAATGTCTGGATCTGAATAAAATTCTGTGAATAAAACAATGCACAAAGCTTAAAGAAGTCTGATGCAGAATTTTACTTGTGTTATTAGGTTCAGAGCATGGGGTTGCCCCGTATGTAGAGTATCATACAGTCCTACATGACATAATAAATAACCCACACTGAATATTAGATCTTTTGAACATTAGATATAACAATCCTAAGAGAGCTAGGAGTCCAGAGTCATTGTTATTACAAAAAGGTAAATTAGAGAATGATCTCTCCCTCTTTGGGGATAGGACTAGATGATATGCTTACCAGGTTTTTAGAAGAGATGCTTCCTGAAGTTATGAAAAAGTCTGATTGTTGTAGCATGTGATGTTTTTTGCAACTATGTATTTTGCATTTGGCAGTCTCTGTTTTGTGATTGGTCATCGATTGGTAAACAGAGGCTTAATTTGCAAATATGACTAGCCAGCTATGCATCTGAGAAAATCCTGTTGTAGGAGGGAAACAGGTGAATCAGGGGAAATATGCATTGCCCTAAATGTCTGGTTTGACTTCCTTTATCTTCCTTTCTTTATTCATCTATCTCTTACAGAATACAAGGTAACACTTTCTCAAAAATCGCGTCAAATCCTAGAACCTTGGGTCATTTTTCTTTGGAAACAGGAATCTGCCACCTGAACAGCTGTTACATGCTGAACAATGATGCACAGAAGCTGCTGGAGCCATATGGAGATCTCATCAACCCCTGTGTGCTCCCTCCTTGTGATGTTTTGGAATATTCCTATTTGGATATAGGCATTTTAAGCAGTCCTAGCCTCCTCTTCCATGTATGCCTAGACACAGTCTGGTAGCTCTTGTTATTGGGGTTTCTATAACATTCTAAAACCAAGAAATCACACTGGATGGATTGTAAGCTATGACTCTCCTTTTGATACCACTTTTGAGGAGGTGAATGACATGAGCAACAGAGAGTCACTGGGGAAGCAGGAGAGAGGCCAGGAGGTGTTTGAAGAATTAACTGGGACTAGCGGCGTGAGAAGGAAGGAGATAGGAAGGCACCGAGAGTGGTTGCCACCTACTACCTCTAGCTTTCTCTTGGGTCTTTCACTGGAAGCTGCCATGTGCTTGGGACTTATGCTTCCTACTCAGTTTCTGGAGGCAACTAGAAATGAACATTCCTCCTTTCCTATAGATGTGAAAAGTCCATCCCATTCCAAAAAAATCAAAGCTCACTGCTGAATCTGGAGCTTCCCTGGTGTCTATTAGCAACAGTTTTTGGGCCCAACTCCACTTTCAGGCAATTTGTGTGAACCAAAGGGCTGTTTCCTGCTCAGATGTTGTAAATGACAATTAACATCAAGGAGGTGGTGAATGGGTATGATGTCAGGTTCGGGTTCACTCTGGAGTAGTGGAAGGTACGTAGGTAGTGTAGCTGCCTTCTACCAAACCTAGCTGTGCATTTATGGTGACTGGCAGAAAGTCTCCAGGGTTTGAGAGATGGAGTCCTCTGCCAGCCCTACGTAAAGAGGGCAGAGACTAAGCACTTGAGACCTTTTTCATACAAAGGTTGGCCTCTATTTATTTATTTATTATTTATTTTATTTATTAGATTTCTACCCCCCCCCAGGCAGCATCTACTCTACCACCAAGCTACAGTCCTTTACTTAATTGACTCTGTATTCTGAAAAGAATACAGTGAAAGAATTAAAATTGCTCTTGAATCTTTGAGAGATCCAGTCCATTGGTTGAGGCATCCATACAACAATATCGCTTGGGCTGCTTTTCCGTTTGCATTGCTCTTTTGCCAAGCAAATTCCCAAGAGGTAGGATCACACAAAACAATGATCAATGACTGCTAATGTATATTAAGATAAACCAGTGAGATTTGTTGAAAATAAAAGCAAAAAATGGCATGTGCCTCTCCTAGATTTTACCTTCCTCAAAGCTTTGTCTAGCTGTTTCTTCTTCTTTTTTGTACACTCATGGGTCATAGCATCTTGGCCTAGCAGTCAATTTTCCTACCTCTCTCTCCAGATATACCCTTATGAGCTGCTTCTGGTGACAACAAGGGGAAGAAACCGTTTGCCTAAAGATGCAGACAGAACTCGGCTAGAGGTATATGAAATCTCTGTGTTCGTTCCAGTGCTTGGGTCTCAATCATTCATTCTTTTCCATTCAACAATACATTTTGAGCTTTGTTTTATGTTCTTCGTCCCTTGGTGTACCCCAAAGAGAGGAGCTCAGTTAGTGGAGCAAGCAGCAGCTAAGTCAACTGTGCAGGCATGTTTGTGCTTCGTAGCTTTTGTTCCTAACAGCATGAGTTTCATCAGCTTTTAGCACTCCAAAGATTTTGGGCCAGTGTTCCCAAGGCCTCTACCACTGTCTGTGCTAAGTAAAAATTTTGGACGTTGAAGTCCAAAGTTTGTGGAGAGCCAGGGGTTCTCAGCCCTTGACCTAGGTAGCATTTAAGGGTCCAAAGTATTTCACATCCATGATCTTAGTAATCTTAATAGTGGTAGTGTATGGTAGGTTGGAATTACTTTCCCTTGTTTACAGGAAGTTCGACTGAGTTTCAGAGATAACCCTGGAGTCATCTGGTCAGTATACCCTTGGCAGAAATGACCTTTGAACAAGGAACTTCCAGGTTCATTACACATTTCAATAGCTCCTTTGCAGTAGCTCAGCTTACATTTATACCAGTTTGCTGCTTGTGAGGTGAGAAAATTAAGTCAGGGATTATGGCTGATGGCTACTCTGTACATATGCACAATATGTGCCTACATTCAAGATAGCTTGTATATCAGTGATAAGACATGCAATACAGTCCAGTTATTTTAAATTACATTGAGGTACAAAACATCTGGGAGTTCCAGAGTTCCCTTGTGTCTTTCTGGACATCCACTCCCTGTCCCTGAAAACCGCTCCCAAAATGCTTCGTATAAAAAAGATTCCTTTTGCTCTCTAAGAGAAACACCATGTTTTGCTCTCCCCTGCCCTATTTTAGGCTTCGGAAGGGCTGAAATCGTGGTAAAATCACCCCCACGCACACACTTCCTCTGTTGGAGGTTTTGTTTTATGTTGTTGTTTTTACAACTTTGCTTGCTGCCTAAACTTTGGCTTGGAGTGACCTTTTGGGTCTGGAGTGACTGTCAGTCTCTCCAGCATCAACCAATCATTCCTTCCCAACTCAGAATTCAAAGAGAACCCCACCACTTTGCTGAGTGTTCTTTCTTCCTCTCTTTTGTCTGTCAAAGTCAGTTGTCAGTAGGTTGTTCGTTTTGTTAGTTTTCTAGTTCCCTATTTACAACTGAAAGTAAAACTTTCTATGTTTTCTTATGTCTTTTTTTTCTGGCAGCAGCTAGTGACATCCAAAGAGCCTTTCCCAACTGGAGAATCAAAGAAGGGGAGTTTATAACTGTAAAATAACTCTAAACGCACAAGAGCATGATGATGGTGATGATGCAAGCTGTAACATTACACAGCAAAACAAATATGTTAATGATATAATGACTGAAATTCAGTAGGAGGAGTTGATTCACAAATTTCTCACTGATTCAGTGAGTCGACATGTGACTTTTTACTGGATTTCAGCCACTACATTCATGAGGTGTCCATTTTATGACACTTCTCTCTCCCTTTTTTTTTTTGATGGAACTCCAAGTGCCATATGGAGTGCATCATAAGTGGCACCAGTGCATCATAACTGCTCTGCTGCAAGACACTCATCTCCAATCTTCCAAATCACCTTCTCCCTTCCCACATGTGTGCCCACATAATGGCAGGTTGCTCTTGCAGTTTGCTCTTGCTGGACCCAGATAACTCAGTATAAGACCATGAGGATACAGTTCTGTTAAAGCAGATTAAATACATATAGTCACTTGTATATTTCTTACAAGACACCTCAAAATATATATGTTGTCACCCGTGAGCATTGACCACACCTGTGCAACCTTGTGCCTCTCTGTTCTCCCTCCAGCGCCATCTGTCGCCAGAGGAATTTTACCAGGTCTTTGGCATGACCATTGCTGAGTTTGATCGCCTGGCCTTGTGGAAGAGGAATGAGTTGAAGAAGCAGGCACGGTTATTTTGAAAGCAGTGCATTATAAATAAATATATATATGTATACATACCTATAAATTTATACATACATACATATATATAATTATATAATATATATATATAATTATATATATAGAAAGAGCTCTATATTGAAACTCTGTATAACTCTTTTTGTTGTGCAGTAGAACCTGGGGCTACTCTCTTTCAAAGCCTTTAGAGTGAACTGAAGTCTCACAAATATTTTTATGCTCTTTGTTTCTTTTATTCCTTTTTTAAATGTAACTGTTAAAAGTTTTCAAATTGGGGGAGGAACCGCAATCCTGTTTTTATATGGAACTATCTTTTTTCTTACATGAATGTCAGGTAATCTTGGGCATTATAGGATCTCACCTATGAGTCTCTTAAATCTTAAGTCCAGCTGAAAGGAGATAAGGATGGCAGAGATATCGGGGCACACACATTGCGAGTAGCTAACTTCATCCGTCATACCAAAACATGGCTTAAGAACTTCAGAAGCATCCTGCAGGATTAGGCCAAAGGTCTATGTGGTCCAGTTTCTCTTTTACAATAATGGCCAGCCAGACACTTTATGCTTATTTGGCCTTACATTCCCATTACTCTGCTGTAGCCATGTCCAACCTTACGTACCTACTGTGCTATTTACTTCTGCATCGAAAAGAAGAATCAGTTGTATGACTTAAATGCATTAAACATGTTTTCATAGAAGAAGAACCAAAGTTCTTCTAGGCTAACATTCATGCTTCATACAGCAGCCATATGAATGTCTTTGGCACTTAACATATCCTGAATTTGATGGCCATCTCTGGAGTTCGCCCCAAATATCTAATCAGCTGGACTGCCTCTATACACGGAGGCTCTTTTTAGCTACCATTACAGATAGCCACTGATAGATCAGTTGCCTGTAAACACACACTATATTAGCTTGCTCACCTTTATCTTCTGCTAGCCATGGTGAGTTTAGACTTGTCCCTGTCTTCCACCAAGATCTTTTGGAAGTAGTGGACTAGAACACATACTGAATCCGACTCTGGCTTCAGAGATTCCACCGGGTATCCTTGCTTTTGCAGTATATGAAAGCTTGGATACCTAGGATGCTGAATGTTTTGCTCCCATAGGTACTGAAGTGTTGGTTTCTTCTGCAATTGTACAGGTTCATGGAATGTACACAGTGTGGCTGTGGCCTAGGAGAATTATCTATGAATGTGCCTAGTTAATAACAGGCCTCCTTTCCATTCTTCCAGCGTCATTGTCTAGCAACCAATCCATGGGAAGTCTAGCTAGGAACTAATTAATCCAGTAAACACTGCCTTGGGGGTGGGGTGGGGAAATGACACTATTTTCATTTAATTTTTTGCTAGAAACTTTCAGTGTCACTATTCCATTTTCAAAGGAACAGATATAACACCTCTGCTCGTCTCTTTTCTCTTCTCTTCCTTTCTCTTCTCTTCCAACTGTGTCCTTTAAATATACATGGGCTTGTGTTGTGAAGAGATGAACCTGTACTCAGACAGTTGTGATACTGGAGGCGTTGCGTCAGATGTCTACATGGAAATTTATACTGTTCTTAAGAAGCAGTGTATGCACCTGTGGGAACAAACCTGGAAATTTCAAATGGGCATAGAAAATGGAACATCGTGCTCATCCTTACATTGTGCGGATTTTATCAGATTTGTTCAGGTCTTTCAAGACCATTAGCAATGCCTTCAGTATTAAATCAGTATGATAGCTTTCTGAATGAAGAAAAAATTGTATATGGAATGTCTTTATCTCTGTGGGAATTGTAGGTTTGTTCTGCCTTCTTTTAAAAAAAGATTTCTTACCTAATACACTGTTTGAACAAAAGAACTGCGTGTTGCCTCATCTTTATCTTCACTAGCACTTATGACTACAAATCTCATGACTGTCCCTGCTAGGTGAGAAATTCTGGGTCCAGCCATTCTGCATAAATTGTGATTGATTTGTCTTTTACCAAACTATGGTTGAAACAGGGTGCTAAAGTCCATCTCTGTTTATCCACTGGTAATTGTCTAAATCCTTACGAAGAGGTGGTGAACTTGTGCATAATTTGCAAGCAAAGGGTAGCTAGCTATTGGCTGTCTAAGCTCCTCATTCTGGGAGGAGTGGAGAAATGTCATTACTGTCCTCTCTAATTGAAAAAGTGCCTGATGCTTGAACTCTGAGAGCACTGTTTGAAGGACACCACTGTCCCATCTCTACAGCATTCCAAAGCCCAAGGGGTTATGCATGTAATTGCATCCCCTTCCTTGTTTTTTCCAGCCACATCTCCTTTTCCTTCCATCCACTCAAGTGAATAAAACCAGTCAAAAGGAGATATATATATACAGAAAAAAAAACTACAAGGGAACATATAGTAGTACCTCCTTATCCATAGAGAGGGATACTTTGGGAGACACTCCGACCTGATCCTCATCCAGGTGTCTCACAGTGTGTGCATGTTTAATTCTCCATGAAAAGCCCCATTTACTGTATTTGAAACACAACCAGGGTATGGATGGGCATGGGCATATGTGGTGCAGGGTGATCCTCATCCAGGTGCCTCACAGTGTGTGCATGTTTAATTCTCTATGAAAAGCCCCATTTATTTGAAACACAACCAGGGCATGGATGGGCATGGGCATATGTGGTGCAGGTAGGAGAGGAGGGCTTCTGGCCGGAGCAGCAGCAGCAGTTGCAGAGCTGTGCACTCTGTTTTATTTTCATTTTAACCTGCCTTTTTTCCAGCTGCCAGGAGAAAGCTCCAGGAGGCTTCCTAATACAGCCTAAGGAAGGGGTGGCCTTTAAAAGCTCATGCCCCTGTGGTTCTTCCTTAAAAGGGCAATGTAAGGAGACTGCTCCTCTCTGCATTTCCCATCTTTTCTCTCTCCCCCTTTCCTGGATCTGAAGTTAGTGGTGCTAAAGCCACAGTATGGATTTTGGTGCTTTAATCAATACTTTGCTGCAGGAATGACAAGGAAGGTTTGTTTTTAAGGTAAAAGAGTTTCCTTCTCTCTTGTTGCCAACTGAGCATCTTCACCCTCCTTCACTTTCCCCACTTCTAATTGTAACACATGAATGCCAGACTTAACCCAAGAGATCTATGGGGTGTGCCACTCTGTGGCCTCCATACATTGTTGGACTCCAGTATTCTCCACAACTGACTGTCCTGTCTAGGGCTGATGAGTGTTACAGTCCAGCGATATCTAGAGGACTACATGTTCCCCACTTGCCCTCCTGGATACTGAACATAGATTTCCAACAACCAGGATAAGTCTGCAGTGCTCACCATACATTTCATAAAGGCTACCGTCCTGTGTGCACATAAAGCCTGAAGTCAGTGGGGCTCTGTTTTCAGTAGGCATGCATAGAATTTCACTGTTTATTTCTGTCCACATTTTTTGTCATTTCTGCAGTGTAATATATAGGTAAGAGCTATATTGCAAACAAAACTAAGAGAGAATTAACATTTGATCTGTTAAAGTCCAAGGGACATTGTCTTTTACTTAGGTAACATATGGAATATTTGAAGTATGTATGTTTGTGAGAAACAAAGAATTTACATATATATGTTTATATATATGCTGTTTATATATACATATACATATACACACATAAACACATACACACACACACACACACAGAGTGTACCTCGCTTAACGGGTGCCTCATTTAACGACGAATCCGCATAGCGACGATTTTTTTGCAATCATTTTTGCGATCACATAATGTTTCTAATGGGAAAATATCACTTTGCGATGATCGGTAAGCTGTTTCGCTTACTGATTTTCACATAACAATGTTTTCCCAACAGTTCCAAAATGGCCACCGGTTTTAAAAAATGGCCACCCGCTGTGTTTTGCACCCATTCCTCGCTTACCGGGCAGCAAAAATGGTGGCCGTATGGAAGATTTTCGCATAAAGGTAATTTTTTTGCCCATAGGAATACATTAAACGGGTTTTAATGCATTCCTATGGGCTTTTTTATTTCACATAGCGACGAATCCATATATAGCAATGATTTTGGCTGCACGGATTATCGTTGCTATGCGGGGCACCATACATACATACATACATACATACATACATACATACATACATACATACATACATACATACATACATACATACATACATACATACATACATACATACATACATACATACATAC